TATTCAGTCCAATATAAATGACTCTCTTGCTTTTAATGAAAAAGAAATTTTATTTTCTTTAAAATACTGATTATCTAAACGCGTCACATGTTTATCTTTTTGCGCACTTGACCTTGGAAAAACCCAAATAACTTTCTAAAATCAATATTTCAAGAAAAATACTATTTGAAACAATATTTAATTTTTGTAAGAAAGAATTGAAAACAAAATTTTATCTTTCATTGTTAAAATAACAGAATGATAAAATTTCTGTGCATTATATAACTTCACTGTGTCTTCAAGTTCGATGTTAAAGACAGAGATAGTTACATTTATAAAGATCTAAATGTGTTTCAAGGGAAGCTTATTCAAACTCATGAGACTTAACCGCTTAAAAAAAAGAGAGATTCAAATGTTGTGAATTTTTTACTCAAGACTTTTTATTGTGAATTTACTTATTTATTATTGTGAATTTCTTATTTGCGTGTGTGATCTGATTTTCTTCCCACTTATTTGATTTTCTTCATAACAAATGTAATTCCAGTTATATTTTCAATATTAAAGTGGAGAACGGAAGATAAAATTCCATGTAATGTTACTTGTAGTCTTAATAATCTGAAATGGGAGTAATGGGATTGAAATCGCATATTTATATTATAGACTTACTATAAACTCAATGGGCTTGTAATCTATAATTTTGATTACTGTTGTACTAAACAAATTTCAAAATTATCGTCTTCAAAATTTAAGTATCCTGCATTTGAATTGATATCCAAATGAAATGCAAGTCAATTCCAAAGTTGAAATTTCAACTAATAAGTCCTCATAAGCTTTACTTTGAGGGGAAAGAAAAATTATTTCAACTAAGACAAATAAGTTGATAGATTAGAACTCCGAAGATTATTTAACCTTGATGTCTTGAAGTATAGGGCAAAATAATGAGAATCTTCTACTGGACAGTGGTAGTGTTTTTTAACAGTGGCCGCTTTTTAAGACATTTAGCCACTTTTTGTCAGAAATTGAACGTTTTAAATAAACTTAATTTTAATAATGACAGGTATTTCTTTTGATGCAGCTCTCAAAATAGCGTAAGCATATTACAAGGTTCATTTCTGATTGAAACAATTTAAACCAGTGGTAGCATTATTAATATTGGCCACTTTTTAAAGCGCTTATTTTTATAACATTTTTCAATATTCGAAGTTTCAATCGTTAAATAAACTTAATATTAACAATGTAAGGTATTTCTTTTGAAGTATTTCTCAAAATATGGAGAAAAACACAAGATTTATTTCTAAAATTAAAAATTTTAAGAAATATGCGTGAAATAAAGTAATTTTCATGCTTGAATAAAGTGTTGACTTTTTGGTGAAATTAACAATAAAATATGGTTTTTATTTTTTATTACAGAGCTGTTTGGAAGTAATTGAGAAAAAAATTAGTAACTTTGACCAAAATTCGGTAATTTTAAAAATACTAAAAGAGTTTGAGATGAAACAAAAAAAATCCAAACTTATAACCTTTATTTTATTTAGTAAACACTTAACAGACACTAAACACTTTTCGTGGGTAAATTGCTTTTTTTCCGATGTACACTTTAAGTTAGTATCTACCATGATTTAAAATTACGGCGTGTACTAGAATGCCGTGTACAAAACTGGAAAGGAGGCAGAAAACAAAAAAATTATTGTAATGGAAAATATCGGAATCGGTCTGGGAAACATCCCTAATTCGAAGATATACCACTACAATTTTGATCCTTCGCAAAAGGGATGGCTTACCCGCTCTGGTATCCCAAGAACTTGCACGCGAAGTCGAGCACTTTACGGTAAAACAGTTTAGCGAGGACCGATACCGTGCATCCTGGGTCTCTACACAGGCTGATCAAAGTGGTCACCCACCCGCTTGATGACCGCAGCCAGTGATGCTTGAGTAAATTTGGTTTTTTACTGGGAACCGTGCTGGTGAAGTTGAAAAACATATTACTTGAATTAGAGAAAGACATAACAAATATGTATCTATGTGGAGGTAGCTGGTCCGAATCTCACCGTATCCCAGAATGTATGCTTGTGCTGTCTTTCTCTATCTTGCGCTATCTGTATATCTTGTCCAGCGTTGGACGGGTTGTTAAGGCAAGGTTCCCAGTAGAACACCGAAGTTAAGTATCACTGGCTGCGGCCAGTGTGCGGGTGGGTGACCACTTGGATCAGACTACGAGGGGACCGAGGCTGTGCGGCATTGGTCCTCTTAAACTGCTCTATCGTAAAGTGCTCGACTTAGCTAAGATTGTCGGGCTACCGAAGCGGGTTGCCATCCCCTCTGCAGAGGATCAAAATTGTGATGGAATATTTTCGGATCATCCTCTGGGATGTTTCCCGGACCATTGCCAATAGCCCATTGTGCAGCTCTAGTGCAACGTAAATAAACTACAACAACAACAACAACTTGTTTTTACTTAGACAAGGGCATATTAGCCGAACTTTGTAATTAGCACGTATGTCTGCGTATGTGTGGGTAACAATAAAAAGTAAATGCATCCATGTTTACTGTGAGATTAGAGTCCGCTACCTATATTTCCATTTTAGGATTTTGTGAAATCCCGGATGCGTAACAGTTAAACTACTAATTTAGTTTAGCCTTTTCCAGGTATTTGTTCATTTACAAATGCACATTTTTTTACGCAGGATTTAACAGAATGCCTCGTACAAACTTGGAGTGGAGGTAGAGAACGTCGTCAACAAAATAAAATGTAGTGCAAAACGCTTTATTATTCAAAAAAAGAGTACAATGTATAAATTACAAGTATCGCAGGGAGTGTTAGAAATTGCTCCCGTTGGTTTGGATGCACGCATGATTCCTCCGGGACATAGATTGGCGAATATTTTCGAAGATACCTGGCGCTTCACTGATTGTAACAGCAGAGATTCGTGCCGCCAAGTCCGTTTCAGAATATACAGGCGTGTTGTACACATTGCTCTACAATGGCACCCCAGAAAAAAAATCACGAATAGATAATTTAGGAGTTTTGGGTGGCCAAGTAGCCGGACCACCAAGCCCAATCCAATTGTGTCCTTACAGAGTGAGCAATTGATCGAGATGCTCGGGTGCCAAAGGCAATCAACGGCAACGGCTGCTGGCACCAGAATATCGGTGCACAGTATACAACAGACCCTCTTCGAATATGGGTGCTCGTATTGTTCGCACCCGCCCAGTACTTTCAATCTTGACTATGAAGAAGGAATGCTTAGAAAGTTTCTGGTGCACCCGAACGAAATATTTGATAATTTGGTTGGTTTCTCGTTGTATATCTTTCCCAATACTACCGAACAGCAGCGCGTCCATTTCCATTGGCTAGGCAGTAGATGAAGTGGATGTCCATTAGCTCAGCGTTTGTTGAACTCAGACAATCGGTGCCTGCAATGAGGAAGCCACATGTGTCCACCTTGACAGCTCACGCACAGCGCCACCTATCGATTTCCACCCATATTTTTTCTTATATAATTATATCTCCTAACAATTTCGTAAGTTTCTTTTCTAAACTAATGTAGATTTATAAGCTTCTAGCCATTCCATAGAGTGAGTAAGATACCTCATTGTGCAACTCTAGTGCGACGTAAATAAAGTACCTTCCTTCCTATCAACTTCACCAGAGCTTGTAGTAAATCGCACCTTGTAATGAACACACAAGTCTAAATACGTATGTGTAACAATAAATAATTAAATAAATTTATGAAATAATGTTTTTTTTTCAAATTATTTCCTTATAGCAGTCTAGCCTTTCCACCTAGTGCTATTTAAAACGGAATGAATCATATTACTTCAAACATTAGAATATGCAAGAAGTATACATAAACCCATAATGTTATACCATTTAATTTCTCAAAAAAAGTATTTTGTCAAAAATTTTTATAAAAAAATTATTATAAACTAAAAAACGTAAAATAAAGAATTCTTAGGATAAAAAAACGATTTTAAAAATTCATCATATTGAAAAAAAAAACTTTCATATTGTTTCTTTTTTTATTTATTCTCATAGTTCTTAATTAGACGTAAAAAACCATTGTGTAGAGAACTATCATCAAATAAGAAAAAAAATTATTTACAAGAAAATTTTTTATTATAAAAATCATAGCACTTACCTGCTTTATAAATCCGGAGAATTCCAAATGAAATTGTAGTGGTAGATACCCTACTGTAGGGTATCTACCACTACAAAATGTTCTTCGTTTGAAAATTTTATTTTCAAATAATATATACATAGATTATCCCTTCATTACTTTTAGATAACATACCACACAGCAAAATTTTATAATTGTATGATCTCGATATGAATTTCAATATGTAACTTGAAAACAGAATAGCTGAATTCTAGTTGAAATTCTTCTTTCAAAACTAAGAAATACTTACCAAGAAAACGATAAAAATTTATTAATAATCAGCACAAATGATACTATTTCAAGTAATTTGGATGATTATTTATTGTAGTTTTCCGAATTATATAGATACAGAAATATATACTATTCTATAAAGAAGAATATTCTATAACTATTACAGTTCTGTACGTTCTAAATTCACATTTATTCATTGGAATGAAGAAAGCACTGCGGACTTCACTTTAATTTGTAATGAATTGAAGATAGAAAAAATGTATTTTACCGTAATGCACACATCTGTAACAGTATGCGATTCCGAAATCGAAGTTATCAGTTGCAAGTTTGTTGATAATAGAAGTTTAAAATTATTGAGGAATTTTTCTTCAAATGTTTGGCGTGTTCTGTCTCTGAAAGATTTACTAATGTTCTGGAGAGTTTTTTCAAGTTCTTCATCCTTTTCTTTAGGGAAATTTTGCTTCTTATTTGCTGCATAGAAAATGTCGTCTGACTCTGCCAATGAACTAAATGAAAACTTAATAAATAAATGCCTGATATTTTCAGGCTTCCGCTAGATGGCGTACTGTTGTGATTGCGAATCTGAAATGACATTAAAGTTTTTGTCTTTACTTTGCGGTCACCGAGACTTAGAGTTAAAAGGTTTAAAGCGACATTCAAAACCTAGCCTAAGAATAGTTGAAAACATTAAAGTGGAAGTAAAAAATTTTATCTTTTTTTTAATTTCTAGTCTAAATTTTATATCCGTATAGCTACAACAATCCAAATTTGAAAAATTATCTTTTATGTGTCTGTTGATTCTAAATATAATTTAAGAATGGAAAAAGAGGAAATTACTCAATTAAATAAGCTACAGAAAGCTGAAGATATTGATGAAAAAAATGAAAATTCAGATCTCAATTTATCAAAGCCATCCTTATTTTTAAATAATGAAATTGACCAATTAATAATTCCAGAAAACAGCGAGAAAACACCAGCTTCTGAAGCTATTATTTCATCTCCATCAACAGAAAATTCCCCTGATGATGACGAATGGCTAGATATTATGGGTAGTGGTAATTTTAAGAAATTGGTGAGCATATTTCATTGTAAAGTCAAATTTAGAGGATATTTCCGTAGCGTGATTTATCGCGATAGCTGCAATCGCTAAGGAACTAAATAGATTTCAAATTTTCTATTTAACAACAACAAAAAAAAGTAGAAATTTGCCTGTGGGTGGTTATGAGTTATAATAAACTTTGATTTGGTTCCCTTTTATGATGTTTTCTTAAGACCTTTTAATTGTAAGACTTGGAGATTATTCTGTTGCAGATAACAATACTAGAGATATATTCCATAAATTTTGAAATAGCAAAGTTTCTAAGTTTTAGTATAAGTCTCAATTATTCTAATTTCTTCGATAGTTACTATACAAAATATTGAAATGAAATTATCTACTTCTACACATATATCTCGCATGAATTTTTATTGTGATGAAAAAGTTTTCAATAAAGTATAGGGATGTAGTGAAGAGTGATTAGATTGAGTGAATTTAAGCAGTTGTATAGTAATATTTTTTTAAAGAAATCCAATAAATATTTTTAACATAGAAATAAGTTTAGTCATATTAAAAAAAATAATCCAAACTCAGTAGTAATATTGATACGGGGAAAAGGGGAAATTTCTGTATCGTGATCTGTGGCAGAATAATAGCCAAGTCTGGGAAACTTCCAGACAGTGGCCCTCGAGAAATTAAGAAAAACATCACAGAAAGGGACCAACTTGAAAGGTATAACTCGTAGCCACCCCTGGGAAAACATCTACAGGTTTTCTTAAAAAAAATTTGCAAGTTTAAAATCTATTTGGCACCTTGGTGATTGTAGTTCGCGCGAGATCATGATACGGAAATATCCTGAGGGAAAAAAACCTTAATAGAAATGTTTAAGATAATTAGATATTAAGAAATTATAAATATTTGAGATAAAAAAATATTACTAACAACCTCAAAAAACTAAAGTTGAAGAAAAAAAGAAAATATAAATAAAATATCCTCTTAATTCTTTAAACAAAACTTTAATACAAAAAATAATATTTTAGGGAAGAAAAATTATTTGTAGCATTAATTATTAAAGCATACGATTAAAAGAGATAATGTTTATCAGAAATGCTTTAAAAATGAAAAGTTTGTTTTCAAGACACAAAATCATTTGCTTATAACAAAAGGAGAAGGAGGAAGTATCTCTACCTTTCTTTTAAGATTAAAACTGATTTAACTCTTTTATCTGTTTTCGAATAATATGTTCTGAACATCTTGGAACGAGCTCCAAAAACTCTTTAAATCACTGAAATCCATTCATTCCTATTAGGAAATGCTATAGTACGGCTTTGAGGAGAACTCCTCCAGACTAAAAGTCTGGGGCTGTCTGCTACTATGGTAACAAGAGAGAGCACATTTCTAATGGGGGGGGGGGAAATGGAGGAAAGAAGGCATAGATAGGTTTACTCACGAAGATCTATCTCGAGATTAAGACAAAACTATTCACTCCACATCCCTATTCGAAGTGTCTTCTCCTCGTAACCATAGTACCCACCACAATACGAGACGGGTGTCTGAAGGAGTTCTCCTGAAAGCCGCACTATACTGTTCACATAACTCTCAAGATTGATAGTACACATAAACCTGAGTACCACAGTGTGGTGAGAACACCATCACTGTTGGATAAAAAAATTTAGTCGATCAGAAACATTTCACTTTCAAAATTCTGGTAACTTGAGCTTTCTAATTAGTGGAATTCTAAATGGACAGGCTTTTACTGTATTTATTTAATATGAAGATTATTTTGATTTTAAATAATTCCATGATTTAATGCTATATAGGTAATTAAAAAAGGTAATGGTCATGAAACACGTCCTGAAAAGGGAGATCGGGTTACTGTTCGTCTGAGCTGTTTTGTAAATGATAAGTTAGTGGAAGAGCAGGAAAACCTACAAGTTATTGTTGGAGATATGGATGTTATTCAAGGTAATCTTTCCCAGTCTTTATAAAAAAAAATTTCATTTTGCTTGAAAAATATGAACTAAAATGTTTTAGATTTTATTATAAACAATTTTAATAATTTTTCTAGGTTTAGACTTAGTATTTTGTTTGATGGAAAAAGATGAAGTGGCTAAAGTTAAAATCCCTCCAAAACTAGCATATGGTAAATTAGGGAGGTAAAAAAAGATTTGTTTGATTTTTATTTCCAGTTTTTATTCTTTCAATTTATTTCATATCTAGGATTATTTTCTTTTAAATTTTTTTCCTGCATTTTTTGATGTTTCAGATACATTGCTTGATGATATTCTCAGATATGTTCCTATTAACAAAACTAAATTTAAGTCCCTTAACTAAATTTAAGTTTGTTAATGGTCTTATCAGTTAGTGATTCTGCTTTTGTGCTACAACAGGCCAAAGATGCCACAAACATTAGAGTTTGAAAATAATGTTACAATATGTACCCTTTGTCACTTAATTCTCCAGCACAGTAAAAAAAGAAGAAAAAAAATAGCATTCCTGATGATTAATGTAAGCAAAATTATAACTAAACTCTAAGTTAAAAAAGTATTTTTTCTTGATTAATTATAGCTAGAAGAGAAAAGAAAAAGAATAATTCTGAGTGTCAATTTGCTTTGTTGCTTTTAGTTGATGCAGTTATTTGATCAATCATAATTAAAAGCCTTGATTGTTGAAACCTAATTCTTGCTTTGAAATTCTTTGTTTTGTCTAATAATAGGTAGAATTATTATGGATGTGAATATTGATAGATGGATAAAAAGGTAGAGAATTCATATTTTAAATAGGGACTCTCTTTCAGTGAAAAAGGATGCAGGAATATGAGAATTCTGTGTCTTTAGGTTACCCATAGTTTCCAAAGTCTAGTATTAGCAATGTATCAGTATTGAAAGTTGTTAGGAAATTTACCACTTATTTTGCCAATTCATCGTCACCTATAGTGGGTAAACTAAATGTGCTTGAAAATTTAGCTAAATAATCTATCGCTGCACATTGTTGAAACCCTGTGTATAAATTTAATTTTGATAATGTCAAAATTCCTTTCCAATCGGGGTTCACATGTTTTTGACAATTGACAGTTTTAACCATGGTTTTAACCGGCATGTCAAACACTCCTTTTTAGAGTCGTGGCTCAGGGGATAGAGTCCTTGCCTCCTAATTAGGTGAACCGGGTTCGAATCCTGGCAATGGCTTTTAATTTGAATTCCGCACCCGGATCGCATCGACCACAGTGCTGACATAAAATATCCTCAGTTGTAGACGAATCATGAGTTAGAGTCCCTTTGCTGTCAGGCTAACCATGGGAGGTTTCCGTGGTTTTTCTTTCCATGTAATGCAAATGCGGGTTAGTTCCATAAAAAAAGACTTCCACGAAGGCAAATTTCTCCCAATACTTGATCGAGGAGTTCCCTTGTCTTCTGGACTAGGTTCAAAATTACAAGGCTACAGAGTTGAACATTGGTAGCTGTAAACTGAAAATTTGGTCAAGTGTTCAATGAAGGTTATAAAACACTCCTTTTTGACGTAGTTTTGAATTGTTGAAAATCCAAAATTTTCGTGTCAAAAATAATTATTAGATATTATAAATATGAAGTAATTATAAATAAAAGTACACATGATCAATGAATTATGTTCTTTAATAGTTTTGACATTAAACTCCTTTTTTGCTTTTACAATTACTGCCAAAAACAAAAAATTGGGTGTAGAAAATTGTATTCTATTATATTAAATAATTTTTGATAAGAATTTTCTGTTAATTTATTATTGAGATAAATTTTTGATTATTGAAATTAAATGTACAATATCATACAATTATCTTACAAAAAAAAAACATTTAACAATCATCTTGTTCATTATTTGTAAAATCAATTTTCATTTACTTCAATTTTAATCCCCCCCCCCTTTTCCCGAAATATGTCAACTATAAATTAAAACTCTAGTTTTTAAGCCCTCTGCACTCCAAGTTTATTTTTCAGTTTTGAATGAATAAGGTCGGAAATTCAAAAATATTATTTTAATTGATGTTGAGCTGCATGGATTAGAATATAGACATACCAAAACTTTTATAACACACTAAAATAGCCTGTACAGTGAAACTTCTCAGGAGCCACACCATGAAATGGTCATTTACAGAGGTTTCCTCCATTGAATTCAAAATTGTCATTGAAGGTACATGATTTTTAGCAAGCTATTTAAGTTTAGTCAGTATCATTTTCTTGGTGCAGAAATGCCACTTCTATTGGCGTCATGAAAAGACGGATCTATGAATAAAATTTAGTGTCAGCAAACAATATCCTAACTGCTATAATTATGTGTAAAAACAAACTTACAAATTATGAATGACAAAGATATTTTAAATAAATAAACAAACAATTATGTTTTTTGTTCAAGTTTGAATTTATATTAATAGCATAAAAATTAGCTGTAAAAAATGAGAAAAGGTTTGTTTTTTCAAAAATAACTTTTTTTTTCTAATTTAACTTTCCACTCTAAAAGTAAATCATTGATATCATTGTCTTCATTGCACTCTGACTGCAACATGAGGTTGTATCGTCAAAAAGAGTTCTAATAACTTGGATAATTTGAAGTGCAAGGGGCCACTGCAAAACTTCAAATTATCCAAACTTTGAATTATTTCAAATTTTTTTTTTAAATGTTATAAAATAATCAATCACTGCGAAAATTGTGAAAAAAAGTATCTTTTTTTAATTTTAGATCGAAAACTACAGTTTTTTTAAAATATTTAGATATTTCAGATTGCTTTGAAGAGCTTACTTTATTTTTTTTTTAACAAAATCTTCAAGAATGTTTACTGCTCAAAACACAGCTTCATTCATGTTAGATATTCTGCTAGATGAAAGACCTCCTAACTCTAAGTTGGAATCTGTCTCTGTTCTTCTTCCTCATCTTTAATATCTTCTTCGTTCTCTGTTGCAATGTTCTTATTGTTTAGAACTTTGTTAAGAGCAGATAGAATATTTGTATCAGATAACTCTCCACAAATGTCTATGTTTTCATCCATGTCAGCGTAATCATCAAATGATATGCTATCTTCCCATGCAACTGGAGGAGGTAAATTTTCTTTATCAAAATCTTCATTAACTGCTTCTGATAGGCTTCTGAATAGACTTTTGATGAATCCTGCCTTCCAGAAACAATTTGCTATTGTTTATTGGCTCACTTTGGACCATGCATTTAAACACATTGTCGATGTGTTGAGGAAGGTAATGGGAAGCTTTTGGGAAGATTCAGTAAGGAGGTGTTTAACGACATCTGTAGAAATGCTTCAGATTTTTAATGATGCCTTGATCCATTGGTTGCACCATTAAGGTCAGGTTTGGCGGGGGATAAAACTGTGACATTTTCCATAGTGGGTATCGGCTTATGAGCCATGCAGTTATCAATAAACAAGATGTTTTTTCTTTGATATGTGCAATGGAGATCTAGCAGCCATTCTACAATAAGATTCGCCGTCATCCTCATGCTGTCCTGTTAGAATGGTATTCTGTAGGCTATTCCATACTCTTTTGCGATGATACATTTCTTCTTTACACCCTTTTTTACCTCACGAATTATAGCAATTTTTTCATTGAAAGATAAAGTTTTATACGGGACCGGGGGCTTACTCAACAACATGCTTGCACTGAACTTGCACCACAAAAACTAAAAGCATGATGAAGAACTTAGTTGACAACTCAAGTGTTATAGACTACAGTCCTGATTTCGAAGGAACTGCAACGCGGGTCATCGACGATTTATTGCATTGGGGAGACTACCATGCGTCCCAAAAGAAGGGGGGGACCACCCGTATCCAAGGACAGGTACAGGAGGTTTACGTCCCCATTTTTCCCCTGATCTGTTTCCTAGAACAGATAAGAGCCCCTTCTTTTCCCTTAAGAATTTTCCTCAATAGCTGAAAATAATCTGGCCACTTGTCAGTTTTGAAAGGGTAAAACCTTCAAATTAAAGAAGTTGGACTTCGAAATAACCAAGATTTTGTAGTATTAGCTGAAAACACAAGAAACACCAACAAAAAACTTTGAATTATCCACAAATTTGAATTACCCAAGTTCTACTGTATTTTGAATACATTTTAAATCACTTATTTGTTTTGTAAGGATTTTTGTTTTGATAAATTTTTGTGCTTCCTTATTTAACCTTTTCTGCATTTGGTGCAGAAAAGTTAATGATTTTTCCTGAAAGTTTTCTTCAAGTTCCTGAAAGTTCTGGAAAAAATTCCGTGCCTCCCAAAAGTGGTCGTAAGTGGAGATGGTCTTTCCTGAAGGTTTCACTGTAATTAGGAAATTTATTTGAATAACTGTACTTCATATTGATAATTTTATTAAACCTTGAATCCATTCATTGAAAAAAATTATTAACTTATTAAACAAGCAATATAACTAAGCAAGATTTCCAACAATTAACACTAGTATAGTTAGCCCTATACAGCTCACACGAGAGCACAGCGATTGTGTTTTTCCTTTAAATATATTGTGTATAATATGTACAGGGAAAACACAGGGAATTTTTTTTTCTTCAGTTCGTAGTGACAACCTTGTTTTGCCAGATAGCTAGGAATTAAATCTTGTTAAGAAATAAAAAACATTCTGGTGTTTAAAATTATTTGATGTGAAACAGCTGACTATTTATTAAGCATACTATTTTTTCAAAAAATGAAGGTAAATTATTAATTGTCTTTTTTATTGTTTCTTATTTATTTGAGTAATGAAAAGTAAATGCATATATGTGCATAGCAAAAAAATAGAACAGTTTGCTTTGTCTTTTAAATGAATAAAAAATTATAGACACACAATTTTATTTTGACTTTCAAACCGATTCTTGTTGACTAATTTTTTGAAAGTTGCTCTTTTAAAAAATATTATGTTGGAAAATTTGGCTTTAAGAAGTTGTTAATATTATTTCTCAACTTTAGCACCATTCAAAAAAATATTATTATATCAGGAAAATGCTCGATATGCCTTTTTTTGTTAAACAGCAAATACTAAAAATAGAAAATTGTAAAAAGATTAAAAACAGTGCTATTTTTAGAATTATCATTTCAAAAAATTATTCTTTTTCTAATTTTAGAATTTCCTTAATATTAAGGGATTTTTGGATAACAAATTATTTTATAGTTGTAATTAATATGTTCAGCAAATAGTTTTAATATTCTGTTTTTAGAAATTATCAATAGAAATTGTTCTTTTATTTTGCCGTAAAAAGTCAAGAATGTTAATATCTCATTTATACTGAATTGAAACGTGACAATGATTTAATCAACCCCAGAATTTAAATCTGTTTGGACGTAACATTTAATTGCTTGAAACAGTTAGAAACAATTACATATACTTATTAAAATTATTAGAAATTAAACATATTCCTTTATTTTGTTAAGAGCTGCAAGAAAGATAAGTGATGAATAATAAAGAGGAGTGCGGAATAAATAAATGAATAGATGAAAATGTACTGATTTGAATTTTTTGAAAGTTTTGGCAGATTATATATTATATTTTTTTCAATCTAAGAGCCATAACCATTATCTTATGTAAAACTAATTTTAATATCACGTTAAGTATTTTAATTTAATATACTGTGTCACCAAAGGACTAATCCCCAGGAAGGAATCCGGGAAGATAAAAATTTCATTATCCTAAAAAAAATATGAAAATATAAATAAAAGTCTACATGTTTTGAGCACTCAAAATTTTTAGTTATAAGTCTTCGAACCCTGAGAATAACAACGTTTAAAGGAAATGTTTAGTACTCTCAAAGAAAATGTTTAGCTCTCTCAAAAATAGGCACCGATTTTTAAGACTTGGCAGATGTGAATGAAGAAAACAAAACTGATTTGCAATAAAAAATATAGTGTTGCCAATGAAAAAAAAAACTATAGAAACCATGGTAGCCGAGAGTGAAACAGAGAATGAATTCCTTGCCAGTGCAACCTTGGATATATTGTATAAACCAGATGGGCTTTAAAATTTAGACTAAAAGAACACAGTAGATAAGTCCTTTTTCAAGAATGTGATAAATCTATTACTATACATTCTTTGCATCTTGGGAATAAATTTAATCTCGATAGTGCCAAAATTCTATATACCCCTGTCACATCAGCTCTTCTTTATACCCGGGAATCTTATTTTATTCATACGAGAGCCGATTCCCTTGTTAATGATATTGTTTTCTCACTATCTCTCCATGGCATGTGGAAATGCATTTTGCCTTGATTAGCCTTTTCCGGTTATTGTGGTTTTTCTAGTTTTTTTTTATATTTAAGTTTTTACTTTCTATTTCACTCTTGGGGTACTGCGATTTTTCCAGTTTTATTTTCCACTTTAATTTATGCTTTCTGGCTGGCAACTTCATATTCCTGTTACATATCACTTTTTTCTTCATTCACATCATGAGAGTCTTAAGAATGGACGTTTATTTTCTTCATATTTTTTGAAGCCAATGAAATTTTTACCATCAAGTATGTTATATTTGGATCTCTCTTGATCATTATTTTGATCAAAATCTTTTGCTGAAAGAGCAAACATCTGTAAATTATTATTTCAACAGGGTTCATGCGGTCTTTAAAATATTTAAAAAACTGCAGCACTTATATTGCAATGAAAAAGTTTTCTTTGACTTTAAAATTTCAAAAGTTTAATTTAAAATTTCAGACTTAAGATTTGAAGTTATTTATTGAAATTGATTATTTAATAATGTGGTGAATATAAACATATTAAAATACATTTATGTTCTGAGTTTTGCTGCCACTGTTACAATTTCTTAAGGACCTTACAAATTCTGTTTAAAAAAAAAAACTGAAAGATATCAGATGTATGTAATGATGGTAAAAAATCATAAAATAAGTTTGTAATAAAAGGAATAAAGCAAAGAAATTATCGTAGCAATAATTTGTGATTGTAACTGTTGAACATGTGGAGCGAAATTTTATGGTGAACTTATGAAAATCCTTTTTAGAATGTATAAAAACATCAGGATGCTATTAGCAAATCATCTTTATCTGAAGAAAGCCACATATTTGGTAGAATGAAACAATATTTTATAAAGTGAATAATATAATATTCTAAAACATACATGTTTCAATCTTTCTAAAATGTCATGATAACACTCACTAATTTCTTCAATTATAAAAAAAAGAAAAGAAATATTCTTAATTATATAAAATCTTGTGAATGTGCATTATAATCTGATATTTTTTGTGATTTGCTCTTCAACTCTGTATGTAATTAAAATAATGCAAATTTGGTTTTAGTATGAAATTAAAGAAGTAAATATTTAAAGAAGTTGGAAACATCTTGAAAAGTATAAATAATGCCTTATAAAAAGTTCATGTGTTTAAGTACTAAAATCTTGGAAAATTATAAATAATTTATAAATCAATTCAAATTTAATTTTTAAAGGAGGTAAAAAGGAAAGCAATATTTTCTTTTTGGGCAGAAATCAACTAAAAACAAATCTGTTGCCTAAATACATCAATATATTTTTCTATTAACTATTTAAAAAAAAAAAGGGCCTTGCCAAATTGAGTTGACACAAAAATGATGAATAGCTCCTGTTTTTATTTCATTCTCTTATTCTCTCAGCTTGGTTGCTTAGCAAGAAATTACTTCTGTCTTGTCAATTACGCAGTTAAAGTAGATATTAAATTTCTCCTCTTGCTATGGCGATAGTTCTTGGCCTCTTTTTGAAATGATGCTAAATATATATTTATATGACTTCCTAGCACCCTAATTTTTGATTAAAATTTTTCGAAATTTTGTCTACACCCCTCATTTTGTGGGTCAGGAATCCAATTATGTAAAAAAAAAAAGTTTATTCAGAAGAAGTGCGTTTTTGTGTCTGATTTTGTAAATTAATTAGCATTTTTGAACTCACCCTTAGGAACCATTAAGATTGACACCTAGTACCCGAAAATCCGATCATTAGAACAAAATTTATTCAGGGTGATATCTTTTTTTTTGCGCACTGTACATAATAATGTTTGTTTTTATGCTTAATAGTAACTTCCCATTATTCTCTTATTTCAACCATTGTAGCAAAAATTTTGTATTTATTTATCACAACTTATTTTGTTTTTTGTATTAATATTTATCATTGGTTATTAATTGTTTGCAGATTTAAAATTTTATTACATGCTCACTTTTTTTAAATTGCAATTTAATGATTTTCTTTTTATTTGCATTGAAAGATTATTTGCAGCTTGCCAACAGCCAGATCTCTATTTTTCAAATAAGAGTCTGGAAGTCTACACTTCACATGTTAATTTTGTTTAGGTCTAGTTGACTGATTATTATTCTAAAAATGCTGAGAATATTTACTATCTAAAACGTTAAATGCCTTTTAACACAAGATCTCTTTTGTAAGACAATTTCCATCTTTTTTTTCTATGTATAATAAAAATTGAAATTCCATCTTTGGTTAAGCCATAAAGGTGGTCTGGGATGCTAAGTCTCCACAGTTTAGAGACCAGTGGTATGATGTGGTTAGCATTGCCTACTAAAACTTAACTTCACAGTACCCATCTATTTGAAGCTATGTCGGGTTTTGCTCCCAGCCGCCACTGAGAATAGAGACCCAACTCTTGGTTTTTTTAATGTGGATAACTTAATTTAAACTACGTATTTATATCTTAATAAATTCAATAGCATGAATCATCATCATAGTTGGCCAGACAGCCCAATGTGAGCCAATGTCTTCCTCTGAAGATTTCTCCATGAAGTCTTCCGATTTATCTTTGATCTCCAATTCTTTTCATTAATTGCGAGAAAATCAGACTCCACTGAGTCGGCCCATCTCAACCGCCGCTCTTTTTCCAGTGGGTCTAAAAAGCAATATCTTTTTTACTGTGTTGTCGTCACTCATTCGAATCATGTGGTCGATCCAATTCATTCTATTTATTTTGATGTATTTAATAATATTAGGTTGTTTATAAATCTTGTACAGTTCAAAGTTAAATCTCCTTCACCAGTTATTGTTTTCATTTACATCACCAAGTATACTCCTCAAAATCTTTCTCTCAAATATTGCGATACAATTTTCCTCCAGTTTTGTCATTGTCCAAGCTCAATAGCATGAATATGTAAGTAAAATTTATAACTACATGTATTTATTCTTGTAGATCTCCTGAAATTCCACCTGAAAGTGAATTAGAATATGAAGTTCATCTGAAGGATGTTCAACCTGTAGATCATAATAGCTTAAGTGTATCTGAGAGACTAAATCTAGGGTAAATATGTGATTTTCATATTCTGAATTTCCTTATATATGCACTTTTAGTTACATCTTATTTTGTATTTAATCAGTCAAATTTTTTCTATTTCATATTTACTTTATTCAAATCGTAAAAAAAAATATATTGTCGGTGAGCTTTTTATTGAGTGCAGTAAGACATTTACGTTATGAAAATAGATATAGTTTAAAAATGCATTTAATAAAGTGGAAATAATTCAGTATTTAAGAAAATAGACACGGCTCAAAGTATGCACTTAAAAAAACAGCATTTATCAGTCATTTTTTGACGTTAGGATACCATTGTTTTTTCGATCAACTTTTTGTTACCGATATCTACATGGTTTCTTTAAATCCCGATTTTGTTTCTTTAATTTTTTTTGCAGTTATCTGTTTTCACAATCTCCTGCTTTTCACATGATTTTTTAAGATTCCGATAATATACAAGAAATTCAGATCAGGCACCTGATTATTCATTATTTGATGTGATTATTTCATACTTTATTTCTATTAATTTTTCCACAGTTATCCCTACTGATTTTCCCATATTTTTTAAAATCTCGATATTATTTATCACTACACATGAATATTGAAAAGTACATTTAATTAACTCCTTTTAAATGTACCAATGCGTATAATTTTGTCGGAAATGGACATTTTTTTTTATAATCCAATTCCAGAGTTTCTAAAATCCTTTTTTTTATGCCATGATGTCTTGCAATGAGCAAAAAAAGAGGTATATGTAATATTGTTCTCTCTTAAAAATTTATAAATGTTACTTTTGTGCATGAAAATGAGTCTTTTATTTATTTATCTTCTATGTACACAAAGAAAAAAAATTAAGTGCTGAAAAAATAAAAAAAACTACACGTTGAGAAGAAAAATTTCGGGATAATTTCTTCATTCAACAATCACAGGTCTGAAATTCATAATGAAAAATTGTGAAATAAAAAAAACTGAACGTCTTATTTTGCTCAAAAATCCAAATTTTTTAAATATTTGCTATAGTTTTGTGTTCTCACAATAAAGAAACATTACGTAATAACGTTTGTTTGTGTTTGGATCACAGGGTTCATTATGTTCAGTTGACTGTAATAACAAGTTACCTTTACTCCACAGAAAACACTGTTTTTTTCATGTAGATGAAGACATTATTATCGGAGAAAAGGGCTCTTTCACCATGACCTTCTGTCAACTAATCACCTCATTTTCTCGATGTTTACTTAAATAAATTTCTATACTTTCTGTTAAAAAAAAGGTTCTTTGTGTATATTATGCATAGTGATTTTTTCAATAAAATAATAAAAAGTCTTCGGAGTTTTTTTTATTTTCAATTGCTTAGAGCTATGCAATAATTTATGCTGTACTAATAACTAATTCAGCAGATTATAAATATTCAGATATAAAAGTGTTTAGTTATGTTTAATGCAATTTTTTATTTTTCTATTTCCTAAATATGTTTACTTTTTCAGTGATGAAAAGCGAGCTCGTGGTAACTTCTTCTATGAAAGAAGTGAATATCTTGAAGCCATATTTTGTTATGGAAGGTAATTTTGCTTTCACACTTCTGCATTGAAATTTTATGCTTCCTGAAAATACTTATAATCTGAAATTTTTTTTTCAGGTCCGCTGAATACTTAGAAGGAGTAAGAGATGTGAGTTGATAATTCTCTTTTTTATTTTTTAAAAATCAAATTTTACTTTTTTTGTAACAGGAATTAATTTGAATGGCGTGTTACTATTTAAACATTTTATAATTCAATTATTACAATCGAAATATGAATTGTAATTGTTTATTTACATTTATTACGTAACCAAAAAAAATTGTTTTTATTTAAATATCATTTTAGTTGATTATCTGAATATGCATGTTATTTGATAGTTGTCTTTTTACTTTTTTTTTTAAAAAGGAAATTAACAATTTTAAATATTTAAGAGTCTTAAATTTCATACTGAATTTCAAATAATATTTCTGCTATACTGTATTTTTATGGTTAATTAAGTCATTGTTGTTGCCCCCCCCCCAAAAAAAAGAAGGAAAAAAAAGACTCAGCCCTTTTTCCAGGTTTACGTTAGACTTTTATGTATATAGATATTTATTATTTTTTAACTATAATTATGTGTTAGATAATTAGTGAATAGAATTGTAAAATAAACTTCATATTTCATTAAAAAAAAATGTAACTTTGCTAAAGGTATGCCATTATTATATCTAAGATCTGCTCTCTGTGTTTTGCTCTTTTAGTAATTTTTTATTTAATATATTTAATAATTTATCCCTAGTGGCATACCTATTTTCTATGTTTTTTTCCTTTCATTTCAGAGTTCTGGATCTACCCCTGAGGAATCACAAAAAGTTGTTGATATGATCGTCAAAGTATATAATAATATGGCAGCATCTCATCTTAAGGTATTATATTAAACAGATCTGTTAATGCAAGAAAAGTTAAATTTATAAAATTTTCATAACTAATACTGATAACTAATACAATGTGTAACTGATATGTGAAAACATGTTAAGTAAAATGTATCACTATCTAATAGCTGATCTGAATTATAAGTGTCTATTTTTGTTTCAATCTATGCATTGCAGAAAATTTTACCTTGTGCATAAGAAAGTTCAATTTTTTAAATGTTTGTTCAACTGGGAAAAAATTAGTTTTTATTACACATTAATTTAAGTCTATCTATTAATTAAAATTACTGTGATATATATATATATATNGATATATATATATATATATATATACACTTTAAAATTTATCCTATGTAAAATATATGGCCTCATGTAGTGTAAAAATTTCTCAGTTTTAAAGGCCTTAATGTCTGGCCTTATTCTTAAAATTTTTGCTGTAAAAAATGTGTTTACTGTAATTCTATTACTTCTTTCCAATGTTAGTTTTATGTTTCAAACTAGTTTTTTTTTCCTACTGCATTATTTAGTCTTTTCTATAACAATGTTTTTTCCTCTCCTGTAGTTGGGTGCCTATCAAGCTGCTCTTAAAGCCGTGGAGTCTGTTTTAAACATTCAACCAAAAAATGTCAAAGCATTGTTTAGAAAAGCTAAGGTAAAACTTTTAAAGTTTGAAACTATATTATGCTACAAGCTATACTTTCTTTCAGTATTTGCAACTTCTGTCTGAAATAATTTTATCAACTTTTAAATCTTTTTTTAATAGTATAGAAAAATAATTGTTGTATTATTTTAAATAGAATATTTTTATCAGATATTATGTTCTCAGATCATGCAATAAAAATTTTCCTGGACAAATATTAAATGTTTAATTGAATTAATTTTTAATATTGATCAGAGTAATTTTATTTCTGCTTTTAATATCTTGTTTTTTCCTATTGTTTTAGGTGTAACATTGTAAATTTTTAGGTGTATGTATTTCTTTAGGTGTATGTATTTCTTTAGGTGTATTGTTTTAATTTCTATCTTACTCTATTTTATTTCTATATCTTAGTGACAATTTGTGTATGAAATTGTTAAAATTTTGCTCTAGCAATGTTTCTAGCTTGCTAATTTAGTGACTGTGTTTTCTTTGAAAATAATTTATTTTTTAAATTCTATTTGAATATATTATTATCTATCATTATGTATAGTGATTTTAAATAAGTTAAAGCTTGCAATCTTCATTGTTATAAAACTGTTAGATCAAAGACAGCCTAATCATATAGACTTGCAAGAAAGATACAGTTGATTTAAAAAAATAATAATCACAGCCAACATAACATTTCTTACCTGACTACTTTATCCAGCAATATGACTGGCAATTGTAGTGTAACAAATGCAGTTTTTCTTTTTTTTCTTTCTTTTTTTAAATGTTTGATGCAGTTGATATCTAAGTTTCTGTTTTGCAGTTTCGTAATCTCTTAACATTTTTTCTTTCTTGGTGTAGTAGTAGTAACATGACTATTTTGTGACTTTTAGGCATAGTTCAAAACACCCCCGGCTCCTAAAAAACTAATTAGAGAAATACAGTGCACTCTAACATGTGTGTGTGTTATTTTTTAAGAAATGCATCCAGTCTTTCTTTAAAAGAGAAGTCTTCTTCTGGTTCTTCCTACTTTCAACCCTCATTGAATAATTTGATTATACAATTGCGAGTAAAAGAGGGGGGCCTCTTTTTAAAGATGCCAAGGAACAGAAAAGACAACTTTTTTATCGCCTTTAAAAAAAATCACAAGTTACAAAAAAGAATATAAAGGTAAAAAGATTTTTTGGAAAAAAGAGGAGGAAATGCAGGATTCTTGATCTTCTGAATAATTTGGCAATATGGTTTATTGGCATTCAAATAAAACACACTTTTCCATAGATTAAAACTGAAATAAATCATGTTAGTTTTTGGAATTTTGATGGGCCCAGTGAGTTCCTTTAATTTGTAATTGAATGAATGTTGTACTTCCTTGCAGTTGTGCATTTTTCTAAAAAAAATAGCAGTTAGAAAGAACTTTTAACTTTCCTGAAAAATTGGCTTAAATTGTAATTATACAATGAACTTTTTAAAAATTTATTTCTCAAATTTGTGGAACTTTTAATATGTTATGAGTTAATAATTAGTTTCTACATAAACCAATTTTTAAAACTATGCTATACACTTTTGATCTGAGTTATATACTTAAAAAAAGGAACTTAAAATATCAGCTTTTCTTACGAAAGCGTTAATAATATTTTCAGAGGCAGTTAATTTATTATAATGTTATTATTATGACATAATTTGTTAGAAAGCAAATTTTACTTTATAAATGTTTACTGATAAACTATTGGCACTTACTTATTTGAAACATTTAGGCAAAGTCTTCAAAGCATCTTTCTACAAATCTAATCCTATCTAATGTATTGTTGCTAACTGTTATGCATTTAGACAACATGAATTGAAACTATTAAAATAGAGTTTTAAATTATTTATTGTCTTTCAATGTAGATAAACTATGGGAATTGGTAAATTGTTTTTAAGATTTCTGAGAAAAACAAACAAACTTAGTAACTATAAAAAGCTGGATTTTTATGCATATTATGTATTAAAAAAGAAAAAAAACTTCTGGAGAAATTTAATATTCTAGCTGATATAACAGTTTCAACCATAATAACAGGTGTTACCATTCATTCAGCAAAATTAACTTTTTACAAAAATAGTAAATGCATTTTACTTGATAAAACTGTATTCTTTTTGTAGTTTTAAATTATATATTTTTATAAAGGTAATATGAAATTGTTTTGAAAACCAATGTACATTAATTATTCCAATATAAGAGTGTCCCTATTCATTAGAATATGATTTTTACTCATAATGAACATAAAGTTTGTATCTGCTTTAATAAACTGTAATTTGATGGAACAACTAAATTATAATAAAATTTAATAATTTAGATAACATAAAAATAAAATAATCCAGTAGCATCGAATTTTTAGCCAGAGGCTTCCCTATATCTAGATTAATGACATGAATAGTGGAAATGTGGTCAGCATTGTTGAGATCCCCTTTATTTCCTAATACTTTTCAAACTATTTGTAGTCTTTGAACTGAAACTGCCGACAGATAATTCAGTGCTTTAACCATTGGCATTCAAGCTTTATTTATATGTATAATTCATGTAAAACAAATATGCTTTATTGTTTAGATAAATTGATATTGTTCATAATACTCCATGGAATAATAAAGATGACTTACAAAATGTTTTCTACAATCATGTATCAAATCTGTATTTTTTATTCCAACTCAATAAGATAGTCACTATTTTTTTTTCTAGGGGCAATCTTGTACTTTTTTTATGAAATTCGGAATTTTTATATGTTGTGTAAAAAGTCTTTTTATTTGACTGTTTGTCCATTATAGTAATGGCACATTATTCTTTACATTATGCTAATGTATTAAGTTATGTTAAAATATTTTTCTCTCTCCAATTTACAGATTTTGGGAGCTCAAGGATCAACAGATGAAGCCATAAATTGCTTAAAAGTTGCAATAAGTATGGAACCGGATACAAAAGTAAGATTACTATGAAATTTTATTTTTGTATCTACGTATAAAATATTACTATGCCATGGCGAAATGTTTTTTGATATTTTGATAAAGTCTTTTCCATTCTCAAATTGCAAATAGCAGCAGTCACCAACAATCCACTCTTTAAATTCTTTAAATAACATCATGGCTTTGATGAATTTCTATTAAATGTTTGCCACCACTGTTTGTTTGTTGTCACTATTCCTCCACTGAATAATATAAGGGAAAAAAGTTATCTGTGAGATTGTACCAGAAATTTTTAGTGTAAGAGTTTTGCTAAAATTTTATGTTACAACTCAAAACTATTATATTTTGCTATTAACTATTATATTAACTATTATATTTTACAATTAGTTTGTTTTCTTACATCAAAATTTTTCTCTGGTGCATTATCTTTTCAATAGCCCAGTGAAAATCCTTTTTTTTTCATTAGGCATAGATAAAAAAGAAGTGTCATGAAGAAAAAAAATTCATACCTATTGTATTATTTTCAAAAGTTTTATTTCTTTTATATGGTCTGCACTGGGCTTTGGCATACTAAACAATGTAGGTCCAAACTTTTCTGTTTTTAATTTTGGATTTCCTGTTTGAAATTCTCATTATAGTTCTAGTGGCTCAAAAGTATATAAATAAATATTCACACTAATTTTATTTTCTGTAAATAATTTGTTGATGGGTTTTAAATATTTACTTAATTTTCTTACTTTTGACACTATAATAAAATCATTAATTGCTGTCTTTAGAAGTTATTACTTGTTTTTCTATTTGTTTCAAGCTTTTTATAAATTTGAAAAAAAAAAGTTTTTATCTATTTGGGATAAAGTAAATATTTATGCATGTAAAAGCAGGTCTATAACATTTCAATTTGTTTCTTTAATTCCATATTATTAGCTTCCTTTAAAATAAATATTTCCTGGTTTTTCACAGTGATTTTTCTCATGTTATATTTTCAATTATTAAATTATAGTTTTTATTTTATGTTAAAGTATGAGGTGGATTTTGCAACAATATCATTATTTGCAAATATTTTTAGGTATTACAATCGGAGCTTATTAAATTAAAGAATCAAAAACGAAAAGAAGAAGAATCTCAAAGAGCCATGTACAAAAGAATGTTTCCTCAGAGTGAACCCAAAAAAGTTAATTCTTTTTCAAAAGTAAGTTTTGCCTTTTTATATTTATAATAATAAATTAATTCATCTACACACTAAGCATATAGGGGCCATTACTTTGCGTCTAAGTTGTTAATTTTTTTAAAAATGTTGAAAAAGTGATCATAAGGGTAGACGTGTAATTGACACTTAAAAACTTTATTTCACAAATTTGAATCTTAAAGCTTTTATTGTTCTGCCATAAATAGTTTCTACATATATCACTCTTTAAGTTGGTGCCATACATGTTTGAGTTGTAATGTATAAAAAAAATTACAGTCAAAATTATAACTTTTCTCTTATATGGGGCAGTTAAAAGATTGAGGCTTACTTATATTCAAATTAAACTTACTTATTTTTAAAAAAAAATCACTATGCAATAGAAGCTGTTCTTTGTTACTTAACAATTAATATAAATTTTTATTTTAAATTACCTGTAAAAAATTTCTATTCATCACAAATAATAAATATCCATAATCATAAATATCCAGAAACAGACTTAGATAAAATGAAAAACTTTCTGTAAACATAAAATCTCAGTTAATATTTTTTTTTTTTGCATGCACTAATTAACTTTAGTAACTAGTTTCAATCCTTTCATCAGCACCTCATTTTGGTGAAACTTATTTGAAAATTGCAGATTTTTTTAAAAATGTTTATATTGTTTCATGACATAGGGATGAGTTTGGTAAAAAATTAAAAAAGCTGAAAATATAAATCTAAAAATGTCATACATAAAAACCCTTTTTTAATATTTAAAAAAATACCATTTAATCAAGAAAAAAGCATATGTAGAAAGCATTTATCACAGAATGTTATTTACGTTTCAATAAAAATATCGATGTGAGATTTTATTATTTATTTAAATTGTGTGAATAGGAATCTCTATGTGCGATTTTTAAATCACGCAAATACAAAGCTTAATTTTAATAATATTTCAATAAATTTCAATAATTTTAAAATTGCCTTAATGCAAATCTCGATGATTGATTTTAAAATTGCATGAATACTAATCTCTATGTTTCATTTTAAAATTGCATGAATATTAATTCAGATGTATATAATTTTTAATTCACTTGAACACGAATCATGATAGCGGCTTTTAAATTCCATGAATGCAAAACAGGATAGTTTATTTAAAATCATGAAAATACCAATAAAGGTGTGCTACTTAATAAATTAATAATAAAGAAGAATTTTAATTTAATAAAATATTGTGAATCCATGCAATGGATGTTTCAAAATGCTTTTACTCAGTTAAAGAATTAATTATTAAAAAAAAATTTCAATGATGTCTGAAAACTAAAGTTTTATTAAAGTATAGAAGATCTTGATTTAAGTTGTTGTAAATTGCTAACATAAATTTAAAAATATTTTTATATTATAATAAGGATTTTGTTGTCTTTATAATTAAAACGGATCATTGAAGATACCTTTTTAGTAACACTACAAATTTAATAAAACACACATATCTTTGAAGTGCTAGTGCCCATCTTGTTAGCTCTGCAGTATGTGGGGCACTGCTTGTCAAATAGGTGAGTGGGTTATGATCGGAAATTACTTTAATTTGTGAATTAAAGTAATTCACATGAATTGCTAATTTTCACATTATCAGAAATATCATGACCCAACTCAATGGCTAATGCTTTAGGTGTACACCCTAAATAAGCCACGTTCAATATTAAAAAATGTTCTTCCAAAATTTCATAAAATATTGTATGATAATATGACAATATACCAAATATTAGTAATAATTAATCAAATTTCCATTTCATTATATAAATCAACTAAAAAATAACTAAATTAATATGATAAAAATTCAATAAGAATAAATTTCATCAAAATTAATGACCTTTTCTATTATTTGAAAATCAAATTATGAATACTAATATTAAAATTGCATAAAAAAACTTTTTTTTCTTCTAAAATATATTATATTCAGTAAATGCTTCTCCTTTTTTTTCTCTTTAAAAAAAAATTACTATTATTTTAATGAAAAATAATTTGATGCAATTCTATTATTTAGAACATGTATGAATGTTTCTTGTACTTGAGAAAAAAAAAATCTTATCTAAAGTAAATTGGCGTCAAAATATAATTTATCTGTCAATCAAATTTAGGAATATATAATAAAATATTCCGAATAATCTTGCTATTAGAATAATCTTTCAGAATACACAAAATTGTAAATGTCCTCAGCAAGGAAAATTACACGAATTACTATTTAACCCAAGGTTGTCACGATTTCAAAATAAACAATGAGTTCATTTACTTGAATCAGATCACTCATATAAACAGTCTATAACTTCGTCTTCAATTATTATAGATCATTATTGTTAGTATTGATAACAATTTCATGTTTATCAAAACCATTTAGAACACTAATAAAATAACATGTTTATAAACAATGTTGGATGCTAACAAAACTACTGATGTAGTTATATAATTTCACAATTGATGGGGAAAAAATCAATTTCACTTAATGTACTGATGTACATAAATGTAATACTAGATACATCTTAAACTTAATACTCTGATGTGCATAAATTATCTTATTCTAAAAAACACTTCTAACTTTACTTACATTGGCATGTTTCAAATCAAAAGTAATTTAATACTTTGTTAAATCTAACTAAATGCAGTGATGTGCACAACACTATGGCGTACTAATGTATATTAATTTAACTGCACTGATGTGCTAGCATTTCTTTTAAACTAACTAGATGCACTGACGAGCACATAATACTTCAATATACTGGTGTACCTTAATTTATATGCACTGGCGTGCTAAAGTATAACATTGTATTCTTTTCGATTTGACTTTGATATGCTTCTCATTTAAACACAGAAATGTGTTAACCATTTTAAATTGTTTCAAAATATAACACAAAATGATTAAAATTTTTTTCTTATGGAACAAAAAAAAATGCAATAAAAAATATCATTGCTCTATTCTTATTTATGCACTATTGAATATATGACATATATATTCTAGCAAATACTAAACAGAATATCAATGATATATTCTACAATTTATTCCTATCAGAACAAAATATTTCTGATAAAACAATGTTTAAATTATCAGTTAAAGTTCATGTATTTCCGAAAATGAATTTTCTAACAAATTGGAAATTAAACAAATAAAGAGTAATATAACAGAAATGGTGCTCTTATCGTATTCATCAAATCAAACATTCTGTCAGATTGACTTTCCTGTTAATAAAATTCCAAATAATAAATCTGCAAGACTACGCCAATAAGGATTTTGATGTGTTTATAATTAAAACGGATTATTGATGCTACTTTTTTAGTTACACAACAAATTTAATAATGCAAAAGTAACAATCATGAACACGATTTTTCCATGCAAGCACAACCTAAACACTCCTCTACCAATCTAAAAAGAATAGAAAATAAAAAAAATTCTTGTTCAATTTCCCCTCTCGGGAGAAAAGTCTAATCGTTCTCCCTGTCACAATTCTTAATTTTCCCTTTTTATGGCTCAGAATATCACTATTATATTTTTATTAAATTTGATTCTTAAAAAATAAACTGACTTTAAATAAGTTGACTTACTTTAAAATTTTTCTTATCTTAAATTTTCATAGGATGTTTTAAAAATGCAAATCAACTTTTAAGAAATTTATCTTAAAATTGAATAACCTCATAAATTTTTTATTTATTAGGCTTTGAAATTAAGTGCTATAACTGCTGGGATGACTGCAATAGTTGCTGGAATGGTTGCTTTTAAGTATTTGCAGAGTTGATTATAATGGTGATTTGAAAGAACTAATGAAATGTTCATTCCATTTATATTGTTTGAATGTTAAAAAATGTTTAAGGTTGTATACTCAATTTGTACAAATATGTAAATTCAAATATATAATTCTACCAATCAGGAATTTTTTATTATTATTAATAAAACAATTAATAAATTTTAATAGTTTTATTTAATTTGTAAATTTGAGTTTTATCTTTTCAGTGTCTAAATTTTCCACTCTAGATATAAACAATGATCAAACAAAATATTATTTATTTGCTTATTCTTGACTTTTTATTGTCTTTAGTGTTTAGCTAGTTTGTCACAATGTGAATCTGGGAAATTTAGTTTAACCCTCTGACTGCTCAATTTTTGGACCAAAATCGCTTTAAAAATTGCATATTTTTTTTAATTGCATATTTCAAATCTATATATATTGGAGAATTGAAAAGTGCATTTTTTTCTTTCTAGAAAATATTTTTTGTGTAGGTTTTTATCATGTGAAATTAAGTTGCCAAAAAAACTAATTTCAGAAATTATCACCTAAATAATTATTTTTAAAATAAATTTCAATTAAATTACTGTTAATTTCTATTTATTGCATAATATAAAAAAGTAAAATGTATAAAATTTAAGAATACATAAGGCACTGAGAAAAAAATACCTTAGAAATGTAGTTTAGTATGATAGAGTTCGAAGCAGGGTTCAAGGCAAAGTCCAACTCCACAGTCTTTAAACCAGATTCGTGTTTCCTTGCGAATATTTTTGCCATTTGCATCTTTTCTTGAACAGCATACAGCACACTAAAATTGCTTTCAGAATCTGAATCAGGAATATACACTCTGACAACCGCTGAACTTTTTCTAGCAGCCATTTCTGATAAGAAAATAGCGGCAAAATGTGAAGTTTGCACGGTAACGCTACACGCCTTTAAATACGGCAATTTACTAACGACATCTGTTGGTCAAAACGTAAATTAAACGTCTAATACTGCTTAAACGGGGAATAAACGGGATGCGCTCATCAATAAAGGAAGAAAAACACATGCCCCCGGGATGAGCAGATTTTGCTACAATTGAGTTGCCCTTGGAAATCGCGGGATGAACTGTCAGAGGGTTAACATATCCTTAGTGCTATTTAGCTACATTGCTATTTGATGGGCTCTCTTCTATTTAGCTGCCTTGTACTGACAGTAGAATCTCCTTTTGCCTGCAAAAAGTCTACAAATTTCTGGGTAAAAAACTAACTATCTGTTGTGACATCACTTTTCTTACAAAGAAAAAGAGATCTATCAGTATACCTCTAATAGGTTTAGGGTCTAGCAAACAATTTATTTTTTTGGCTGAAACTATATTAACAGCATATGTTTTTGGTAATTTGAGTGGTCAGAAATACATTGATATTTTTGTTTATGTATCAATTTTGCAATCTTAATTTGCTGACAGGGATCAGAACATGATAAATTTCTTAAAAACTATGCATTTTAAATGAAATCCAGATATTTCAAGGACATCTTCACCAAACTGCATACCTTTGTCCCTGTGTTCATCTTTTCTTTTATTCCATTCATTCAAAATATCATTCAAATGTATTTGATCTTGAGATTCGTAGTTATCTAGAATTTAAATTTGTTAGGCTTATTTTCTACATACTGAATAAATTTGCAATCTGTTTTACATAGCAACAACATTTTGTTTTAGTTTCCTCTAATATGAAGCCTAACTGAGAATATTTTTTTAAAAATATCTACATAATATCTTGTCTTGTTTTTTGTTTCTACGTTGTTTCAAGCCTGGATTTATCATCAAGCAGTAGAATTTTTATAAACTGGTATTATTGCACTAATGGGAAAATAAACCAAATAATAACACTCTTGTCAACCATATGCACAAATAAAAGAGGAGCAACTATATTATCAAAGTTCTCTCAAGCAGTTTTCAGTTATATCTAAAAACTTCCATGGTGGACAGATTGTCTGCTAAGGATGTTTTCAGGCCTAACTTCATTTTATGCTCTTAATGTTAAATTTTAAGTTTAATTTTTCTTATACCTAGTTAAATTTTTCTTATATGTTTTTTAAAAACCCCAAATAAAAAAATTTACAAAATGTAAGTAAATTTGTGTAATTAAGTGAATCTGTATTTAAATTAGCCACCCTGGTCTATATAGTGTTATTTTTACCCCAATAAATATAAACAATAATTTGATCAACATAATTTTTAGTTTTCGTAAAAAAACTTATTGTATCAATCATGGGTGTACAATGTAGCCTTTAACTTGGTCCCTGAACTGTCTGAAATAAAAAATATATGAAATGGAAAAAAAAAGGAAATTTTTTTCAGCCATGCTCTGTCTCAGTAAGTTACTGATCTAGTTCACAACCTTTCTCAAAGTATCGGAGTGTGACATGAAAGTTCTATTTATTAAATGGTTTTAAATAAAGTAAATGAAGAAAAGAAAAAAATTTCACCAGCTGATGAGATAAATAAAAAAGAAATTAAATTATAATTCCAAATTTTCTACAACAATCATCACATTTATCTAAGACTGTATTTGTAACAAAATTTGTTTTCTGAATAACAGTGAAAACTTTTATGATAAATGTGAAATTTCGTAATCTTATATATTTACTATAATTTGCTTTTAAATTAATTCGTATATTTGTTTAGATTTATTTACATTAATTTTATTATCTGCACTCAAAGATTATTTATTTTCTTTAACTTACTCATATTACTTTCAAACAGAATCTAAATTTTCCCTGCATTCTTATAATTATATTTATCTTGGCTTCAGACACTGTATTTTAAGCTTTTGTAACTTCTATCCAAAAATGGCTGAGCATCCCTTGTCTTAATTTAAAGCATACTAAGAGCGTTAAATAATGAATATAAATTACTTTTTTTCTATTGACTCAATTAAATTGAAGTAAAATGCATTTGTTGCACTTATTCATTGTCTTAAGCTTAAAATAAGTTTAAACAAGTTATCATTGTTTGCCTTGAATATCGTGTGTGGATTAAAAGTATGTTTCATAAAATCTTTTGCAGTTCGCTGCTTAGGGTTACATTTTTATTTAAACAAATTCAGATTTCTAATACCATTGTATTTTATTTGGTGGCTTGCAAGGGCTCAGACCCTTTAGAGGAAATATTGCAATGGTAGAATTTTTCATTACATAAAAAAATTACTAAGTAATAAATTTATGTTCATATATCAACAATTATTTTTCTAATTCAAAAATGCTAATTTGTCCTTTCTTGATCCTGTATTTCATTTGTTCTGTTGTATTTTCAATATTCCATGGATTCCAGAACTTGCATACTTATTTTTGTAAATTAAATCTGTCGTTATAAGGCATAGGTGTCTGCATTTTCATTTGACATGATAGATTTTAAGCCATTCTGAAAAAGTTCAGCATCTGGATTTAATCTCTCAGCTAGAAATTGATGGAAACATTAAAACGAATGTGAATGAACATCTGATGCATCTTCAATTGACTTTTGGTTACTATTTCTCAAATAGAAGCAATGTATTCCAATCAAGCAACTTGATATGTCAAAATGACTATTACTTTTTCTTTGAAATTATCAGGAAGAAGAAAACTTCTCGAGCCCTGCTGTGATCAATCTCAAGAAGGTATTTTTAAAGATTTCTCTATTCACAAAAGCAACACTAGAATACACTGTGGCGTAACTACCACTACGAATATTAAACATCAATTCACTGGTATATACGACACGCTAACTTGATTCAATTACGAGGTACCTTTTGATAGATGAAGGTTGGCATGGTCGATAACTCCTCCCCATACATTGGTGACCCTGATGTGATATGATCACGCCTTCTTAACAGTAACGCCCACTTCGATCTGGTAACGCCTACTTTGATGAATGATCCACATTGAACAGTTGACTTGCTACTTGGGACTGCATCATTATCCACCTCCTCACTCTGTTGCTACTCAGTCTCGTCTCGATTAAACACAACGTCTGCCTGCATACACTCGACTGCTAATGGCAACACAGGAGCGACTGTGAAGTTAATACAGCTCTCACATTCAGCATTAAAAAACCCGGTGACCTTAAAACCAACTCTCCCGATCTTTCACAAATACAGCAACTAGTGGTATCCGTTCATCGAATTCTATCCCGGATGAAACTCGGGTGGGGGAGTATTGTGGCGTAACTACCACTATGAATATTAAGCATCAATTCACTGGTATATAAGACATGCTAACTTGATTTAATCACGAGGTACCTTTTGATAGATGAAGGTTGGCATGGTCGATAACTCCTCCCACTACAACACCATCTGGGGAGAAGATTGGTTCCATGTCTGGAACTGCCCTCCTTCCCCCTCCTCAGTACAGATGTATGGGAATGTATTATGATGTTTTCCACTTCCATATTATTTTTCGCCATTAGATTATCAAAAATATGTTTTAAAATTTCCATGGTGTTTAAATTAAGCACTGTGTTTAGTGTAGTGTTGAGTTCCATATAGATTCCCTGCATCGAAAATTTTAATCGATTTGAGTATCAAGAGAGAAATTATCTTCCTCCTATAACTATCCACATGCTAATGGTGAAAGCATGCTTAATGTTGCTATTGGTAAAGAGTTCTGTTATGCATCACCTGCAGTTCATTTCGATTACCAATACTAGATGTGTTGTGTTGTGTTAGAAATAAATTGACCTCTTTTGTCAAAAAAAAAAAAAAAAATTCTTTTTTTTTTTTTTTTTTTTTTTTTTTTTTTTTTTTTTTTTTTTTAACACTAGAGGTTTGGCAATTCTATTGCATTTTTAGAAGGGGCCACAAAACGAAACAAAAATCACTGCCCTACATTATTTTATATTTTAATTAGTGTATTACTTATGAATGATGGCAGGTGGACAAATTAAAAAAATAAGATAAATCATATGAAAAAATATGTTTTAACCCTCTAAGAGATAGTTTTATCTTTGTTTTGATTGATAAATTTCCCACAAAAGAAATAGAGTACATTAAGGTAATTTCAGCACAATCTTGCTAGATGATTTTACATGGAAGATAGAGAGAACATCACTGTGTAATTTTCAAAGCTCTTATTTTTATTAATATATAATTCAATAGATGACGCATGTTCAAAACTCGTGTAATAAAAATTCAGATGCTGTTACTCCTTTAATTTTCATCTGA